ACCATCCTACTATCGGTCAATTCTTCATGTATTGTGTTTTGTTAATGTTTATAGTAATAGGCCATGTTTCATGATTATCACCGGCTCTTGCATAATCATCACCGGCTCTTTCTCATTGGCCGTTAATTACGAGTTATGAGGGCCAGCAGTCGCGCTCGCTTGTCCACGGGCGCGCGAACGTCACACATGCCACGCGCCGCCTCATATACTTGCGGGTTTCTCTGTCACTTTGCTGCGTCGGTCACTTTCTCTTTTTGTCTATCTGTTATATTACGCGCGTTGTGCTCTCTCTCTGTCTTTCTCTCTTTCATTTTCGTTCTTTTCGTCTCTTTTCTCGCTCTCTTGTTATCTTTCTTTCTCTTTTCCCTCTTCTCTTTCTCTCTCTCTTTTCCTCTCTTCTCTCTTTCTTTCTCTCTCACTCTTTCTTTCTCTCTTCACTCTTCTTTCTCTCTCACTCTTTCTTTCTCTCTCACTCTTTTCTTTCTCTCTCTCACTCTCTCTCTCTTCTCTCTCTCTCTCTCTCTCTCTCTCTCTCTCTCTCTCTCTCTCTCTCTCTCTCTCTCTCTCTTCTCTCTCTCTCTCTCTCTCTCTCTCTCTCTCTCTCCTCTCTCTCTCCTCTCTCTCCCCCTCTCTCTCCCTCTCTCTCCCCCCTCTCTCCCCTCTCTTCTCTCCCCTCTCTCTCTCTCTCTCTCTCTCTCTCTCTCTCCCTCTCTCTCTCCTCTCCCTCTCTCTCCTCTCTCTCCCTCTCTCTCCTCTCCCTCTCCCTCTCTCTCCTCTCTCTCCCTCTCTCTCCCTCTCTCTCTCTCTCTCTCTCTCTCTCTCTCTCTCTCTCTCTCTCTCTCTCTCTCTCTCTCTCTCTTCTCTCTCTCTCTCTCTCTCCTCTCTCTCCTCTCTCTCTCTCCTCTCTCTCTCTCTCTCTCTCTCTCTCTCTCTCTCTCTCTCTCTCTCTCTCTCTCTCTCTCTCTCTCTCTCTCTCTCTCTCTCTCTCTCTCTCTCTCTCTCTCTCTCTCTCTCCCTCTCTCTCTCTCTCCTCTCTCTCTCTCTCTCTCTCTCTCCTCTCTCTCTCTCTCTCTCTCTCTCTCTCTCTCTCTCCTCCTCTTCTCTCTCTCTCTCTCCTCTCTCTCTCTCTCTCTCTCTCCTCTCTCTCTCTTCTTCTCTCCTCTCTTCTCCTCTCCCTCTTTTCATTCATTTCTTTTCGTACTCTTCTTTCTCTCTCTTATTTCCCTTTTCTGTTTTTTCCAATCCTTTTTTCTCTCAACTTCATTTCCCCCACCTCATCTACGACCTCGTCTCCTTTCTTCACCCTCTCCTCCCTTTCTCTCTTTCTCTTCTCCTTTCTCTCTTTCTCCCCTTCTCCTTTCTCTCTCTCCCTCTCCTCCGTCTCTCCCTCTTCCTCTCCTCTCTCCCTCCCCTACTTCCTCTCTCTCTCTCTCCTCTCTCTCTCTATCTATCTATCTATCTATCTATCTATCTATCTATCTATCTATCTATCTCTATCTATCTATCTATCTATCTATCTCCTTCCTCCTCCCTCTCTGTCCCTTTCCTCCGCTCTCTCCCTCAATCCCTCCATCTCTCCCCCTCCCCCACCCCCTCCGATTTATTGTTGAGGGAGATAGTTTATGCAAATGAAGTTGGGAAAGGGTTGGGGGAAAGGTTGCTGTTTGCCGTAAAGTGGGCATTATACCCCCCCCCCCCCACTTCCCTTTTCTTCTCGACTTCCCTTCCCCTCTTTCGTTTTTTTTCGGGTCCTTTCGTTTCTCTTTCCATGATATTCGTTTGGTGTTTTATTTTGCGTCTTCTGTCTCTCATTCTTTATTTTTCTTATTTTCTTTATTTTTTCTGCCTTTTCTGTCTTTAGCCTTTCCCCAGTTCCTCTATCTCATCCCTACCCATTTCCGTTTTAATCTTCACTTCTTTTTCACATTTTTTTTTTACTTTACTTTCCCCTTTCTTCCTTCCTTCTAAGCTCCCCTTTCTGTTTTCTTCCTCTCCCTATTTTTTTCCTGTGTTTATTATTTTCTTTCTTTCTCTCATCCTTCATTCTCATATACTTTTCGTTCGTGTGAAAGATCATAACGCTTTTTTTTACGATCAAAATTTCTCATAGACGCGATATGTTGGATCCAAGACTTATATATATATATATATATATATATATATATATATATATATATATATATATATATATATATATGTGGCATTTTATGATGGATGGCTAGTGTGAGAATACCATTTGTATTGAAAATTGTCGATTTAGTGTTACCAGTTACCATAATGGATGAGTTGGATGAAAATATATTGATTGAAGACGTGTTTTAAATGCATCGTGCTATCATGTTGGCTTAGTTCGATTGACGATTTCTAATTGCCTGTTCCCATGTTGCGTGCAGGTGCCATCGATGTGGTTGTGGTGCGGCAGGAAGATGGCTCCTACCTCAGCTCACCCTTTCACGTCCGCTTCGGCAAGATGGGCGTACTGCGGAGCCGAGAAAAAGTGGTAAGTGGAAGCCTCTCTTTCTCTCTCGCGTTTTGGCTTGGCTTGTGTTCTCTCTTTTTTCTTTTCTTTTGTCTTTTCTTTCTTTCCTCTTTTCTTCTTTTCTCTCTTCTTTCTCTCCTCTCCTTTTTTTACAGGCACAAGTTATTGTTTGTTATCTATTATCCATTTTGATGTGTTGTTTTCCATGTCGCTTTTTTTTTTCTTTCCTTCTCGGTCGTCGATTTGCCATTCATAAAGTCGTTTGTCGTTCGTTCCCCCACTCGTTTTCCCTCCCAAGTGGCAGCGTGTCAGTCGTAGAACCTGTTTTTATTTTCCTCCTTTTCTAGCTTTTGTTTTCTTCGTGGATATTTTAGCTGTTGACCTTCATCCTTTGTTTTGTTTTGTTTTGCTTTTTTTTCTTCCCACGATGTTGATGCTCCAGTGCGATCCTGTACCACCTGTTTTGGGAGGTGGTGGTGGTGGGGGGTGAGGGGTTGAATGAGTCCTTTTGTTGGGGCGGGGGGGTGGGGGCTTTTGTTGGTCGCCCTCTTGTTGCCGCGCAGGTCCTTTCAAACTATTGGATGATCAGAAGCCTTTGTTGGCCTTGCGAACTCCATGGCTCTGGGTTTGCGCTTCGTCCTCCGGGGGGTTCAAAACGTCCGCACATTTCACTCGTGCTAAAAAGCTACGATGAAGAACTTTCAGAGATTAGTCAAAGGAGAATGAAAAGCTACGATGAAGAACTTTCAGAGATTAGTCAAAGGAGAATGAAAAGCTACGATGAAGAACTTTCAGAGATTAGCCGAAGGAGAATGATCACACCTCAGGGGGGGGGGGGATTCCACGGCAAAGACCCTGGTCAATAGGTCAGTGGGAACCGGGCGCAACAACCCGTGACCATGCTCCAGGGGACCAGATCAAAGCCACGTGCGTAGTTTCCTCGTCGTTGTGGCTCTGAATTGGTGATTGCGTGTATACATGTATTATTTATTGGGGAGTGCGTGTATGTACGTATTATGAATTGTGGGTTCTGTTTCCCGCCGAGGTGAGCCTCACGCTCACGCTCTTGGTTAAGTAACCCTCGTGGTATGCGGTGTCGTCGTAATGGCTCCCGTGCGTGACTCCACGACTGTAGGAAGGGGAAGGGTGTTGGTGGAGGAGGACGGTGGTGTTGGTAGAGGACGGTGGTGGTGGTGGAGGAAGGCGATGGTGGAAATGATGGAGTGGGTGTTGGTGGAGGAGGGTGGTAGTGTTGGTGGAGGAGGGTGGTGGAGATGGTGAAGTAAGAGCTAGTGAACACAGTGGATGAGAGGGATTGATGGTATAGGCACTGGATTGTGCGTGATAGATTGGGTTGGGGATTACATTCCAAAACCAGAAAATTTTCATGGACAGAATTGGAAGGCAGATTAGGACAAGATAAGGACAGATATGAAGTTTGATATAAGGGTAACCATAGACATTGACGTAAAAATCGACTTATATAGGGATAGGACTAAAAACCACAGGCGCCAAGTGGATTTAGGATAGGATGAGGGAGGGAGGGCAGGAGGAAGCGAGGGAGGGAGGGAGGAAGCGAGGGAGGGGGAGGGAGGAGTAGGAATAGGAATAGGATGAGGGAGGTAGGGAGGGAGGGTGTTTAGGGCCAGTCGAGAGGAGAGAGGGCGTGAGACTTGAACTTGGAGACATTAGGGTGTAGTGTGTCAGGTATGTGTGAGATCCCTTAACCCTTAACCGCCTCCCCCTCCCTCTCTCTCCCCAAATCCCCATGTTCTCGTGGGAATCGGAGGCTCCACCAGACCTCGAATCTTGCTCGCTCTATTGATTGTGTCGCGGGGGTTCCTGGAGGACGGGACTCAGTCCTTCCGGATAGTAGCAGTCGTCGTTTTTTTTTTTTTTTTTTTTATCTCCTCCGTTCTTCTTCTTCTTCTTTCTTTCTTCTTCTTCTTCTTTCTTCTTCTTTTCTTCTTCTTCTTCTTCTTCTTCTTCTTCTTCTTCTTCTTCTTCTCCTTCTCCTCCTCCTCCTCCTCCTCCTCCTCCTCTCCTCCTCCTCCTCCTCCTCCTCCTCTGAACAGCCAGAACAGAGTCGAGTGAAAAAAGGGGATTTGCGACCTTCTGTGGTGTCAGGGGAGGTGAGAGGGGGAGGGGGAGGGAAGGGGGTTCAGGTCAGGTTATGGATGCATCGGAGTGTGGCCCTTGTTACTAGGAGTGAGGAGAGCGGAGAGGGGGGGTAGGGTTGTAAAAGGATTCGTTTCAACAGATTCAAAGGGTTGTTTTTAGGCCGATCTTGTGAAATGATTCGTTTCAGCAGATGCAAAGGATTTGCTTTCGATCGCTCTGGCCATTGCAGGGAGCCGTCCGCCGGTCTCTGAACAGCGTTAGCTCGCGTTATTTTTGCTTTATCTATTTGATTCGGCTTTATCTCGCTTGCGCTTCTTCTGCAAACCCCGCATGCGCTCTCCAATCAACCGAGTGACAAGGAACCGCAAGCGATGAGTGTCGACTTCGTGCTTTCTTCGCCGCCGCTGAAGCTCGACGGAACTGGCTTCAGCAACGCGGAGTTCTTAGCTTATTAGGGGAAGGGATTTTGCAGGCGGGAGTGTATTCTGAGGTTTTTCTTCCGAGGGCTCTTGGGGTATAGGGAAATGTGATAGGGCTTGTTCCGGCGAGGGAGGGGAGGGGGAGAGGGAGGGGGGAGGAGCGTTGTGGGTTGCACTTTTCTTTCGTTTGTTCGTTCTATTTATTTCTCTTTTTTCTTTCTTTGGTTCGTTATTTCGTTCTTCCTTCCTTGATTACTTTCTTTCGTTCTTTCTTACGTCTGTGATTTCTTTTCTTTAGTTCTTCCTTCCTTTCATCCTTCCTTCCATCGTTCCTTGATTTCTTTCTTTCTTTCGTTCTTTCTTTCTTGCTTGCATTTTCTTTTTCTTCGTAGCTTTCTTCCTTCTTGGTAAGGAGAACGAACAAAGAACACGTTATTCCATGTGTTATGTGCTGCTGCTGTAAGAGTTAGTTAGTAAGTCCCAGGGCAACCAGGAGTGTTATATTACTCTTTCACATAATTTGATTTTTCTCTAGTTATAGGCTGACGAAATGTAATCTTATTTTTGTTTTCTTGATGTTATTTGATTTTTCCCTTTTTTGTGTTTTGTAATGACGAAACATTTGTTTTGTTTTTTTGCTTTTCTTCTCGAGAACAACTTGGGCGATTTATTTTTTCTCTGACACTTGAGGATATGTACACATTCCCGAGGCACGCATTCCAAGCCGACCCTTTAGGCCTAAAGAGATTTTCTTGAGGGGGAGGGGGTGCGGCATTGGGTCGAGCTTACGAAACAGAAGCCACGAAACAAGTGGAATGTAAGAAGGCGCATGACCGTAGTTCTTAAAAAAAATGTATTGGCACCCGACATACCCCCGTGACGCGAAGGCCCCGAGAGAGACTGTCCTAATATGTGGCTTGAATCGAGCGGAATCAAGCCACCAGGTGAAGGCATGCCATGACAGTACGCCGGGACACCTGTTTTTGTCCTCTCCCCCCTCTCCCCGTGAGGCCTCAGGGTGGTGCCAATAGAGTCATGTGGTTGTGGCATTCCTTGATGGTGATGCTGGTGCCAAAAAACGCGAAGTGGCGGTTGGGAGGAGACGTGTGTGTCTGTGTGTGTGTGTGTGTGTGTGTGTGTGTGTGTGTGTGTGTGTGTGTGTGTGTGTGTGTGTGTGTGTGTGTGTGTGTGTGTGTGTGTGTGTGTGTGTGTGTGTGTGTGTGTGTGTGTGCGTGCGTGTCTGTGCCTTACGTCTATGCGTGTTCGTGTATATGCTTATTTGCGTGCATGTGCTCGCGTTAGTTGCGTGCCCTTCACCTGCACTCAAGAACCACCCAAGAATGTGCAAGACAAAGAGGCCAGCGTCGACACAGCCTGATCTCCCCTGTGGTGACGTCGATGCTCTGCCAATACGCACAAACCGCCGACCTAACCTATTGCACACCTTCTGTCGCCGAACACTTGTTTACAGAGCCAGTTCTGCGGTTCGCTTTCTTCTCTCGTTTTCTTCGAACGATGCGGTTAGGTGGTTGATATTTGAGTGATTAGCGTAAGGATTGTGTTTGATTAGCGTAAGAAATGTGCTGATGTTGGATTGATTAGCTTAAGGATTTTGTTGAATTTTTGATTGATTAGAGTAAGATTTGATTGATAAGCATAAGAAATGGGAGTGATAAGCTCTTAGGATAGAGAATGTGGACAGACTTAGAATTTGGCGACTTGCGGTTGCGACATAATACGCCATTTTTTCCCGGCTGGCACTCGGATCCGGTCATTGCACGTGGCACTCCTGAGATTGAGTGCAGGTGCTATGCCAGATACCTGTAGAGTGGCAAGTGAAACGGTGTTCCCGTATTGTAGTTCTTCTTCCTTGTATTTCTTGTAATTTTTCTCCTCCTCCTTCTCCTTCCTCCTTCTCTTCTTCTCTACTTCCTCTCCTCCTCCTCTTCCTCCTCTTTCTCTTCTTTCTCACCCTCCTCTTCCTCTTTCTCCTCCTCCTCCTCATCTTTCTCCTCTTCCTCTTCCTCTTTCTCCTCCTCCTCCTCCTCCTCCTTTTCCTCTTTCTCCTCCTCCTTTTCCTCTTTCTCCTCCTCCTCCTCCTTTTCCTCTTTCTCCTCCCTCCTCCTCCTTTCCTCTTCTCCTCCTTTCCTCTTTCTCCTCCTCCTCCTCCTTTTCCTCTTTCTCCTCTTCCTCCTTCTCGTACATCCGACTATGTTTAGCTCATTATTTCCCTCCTGTTATGTCAGCCGCGGGTTGAAAATGAAAGATTACGTCATGGATCTTTACGTAATGGGTCTGTTAAGTGTCTTTGTAACAAGGTCTCGACTCGTTTATTTTATTATTTCCTCTTATTTGCTCATCGATTTTGCAAACTCTTGAGTGATCGGGACATGGGGGGGGGGGGGTAAATATCCTGCCAGTAAAATGTCGTTTCTGAATAGGATTACTGATGAAAAATGTTGCTGGTGTATTGTTAAATAA